TGCGTGTGTGTGTAATAAGCAGAGTGAGTGTGTAATAAGCAGAGTGAGTGTGTGTGTAATAAGCAGAGTGAGTGTGTGTGTAATAAGCAGAGTGAGTGAGTGAGTGTGTAATAAGAAGAGTGTGTGTGTAATAAGCAGAGTGAGTGTGTAATAAGCAGAGTGTGTGTGTGTGTGTGTGTAATAAGCAGAGTGATTGTGTAATAAGCAGAGTGTGTGTGTGTGTGTGTGTAATAAGCAGAGTGAGTGTGTAATAAGCAGAGTGTGTGTGTGTGTGTGTAATAAGCAGAGTGAGTGTGTAATAAGCAGAGTGTGTGTGTGTGTGTGTGTAATAAGCAGAGTGCGTGTGTGTGTAATAAGCAGAGTGAGTGTGTAATAAGCAGAGTGAGTCTGTGTGCAATAAGCAGAGTGAGTGTGTGTGTAATAAGCAGAGTGAGTGTGTGTAATAAGCAGAGTGAGTGTGTGTGTAATAAGCAGAGTTGAGTGTGTAATAAGCAGAGTGAGTGTGAGTGTGAGTGTGTGTGTAATAAGCAGAGTGAGTGTGTGTAATAAGCAGAGTGAGTGTGTGTGTAATAAGCAGAGTGAGTGTGTAATAAGCAGAGTGTGTGTGTGTGTGTGTAATAAGCAGAGTGAGTGTGTGTGTAATAAGCAGAGTGAGTGTGTGTGTAATAAGCAGAGTGAGTGTGTGTGTAATAAGCAGAGTGAGTGTGAGTGTGTGTGTAATAAGCAGAGTGAGTGTGTGTGTAATAAGCAGAGTGAGTGTGTGTGTAATAAGCAGAGTGAGTGTGTAATAAGCAGAGTGTGTGTGTGTGTGTGTGTGTAATAAGCAGAGTGAGTGTGTGTGTAATAAGCAGAGTGAGTGTGTGTGTAATAAGCAGAGTGAGTGTGTGTGTAATAAGCAGAGTGAGTGTGTGTGTAATAAGCAGAGTGAGTGAGTGTGTGTGTAATAAGCAGAGTGTGTGTGTAATAAGCAGAGTGAGTGTGTAATAAGCAGAGTGAGTGTGTAATAAGCAGAGTGAGTGTGTAATAAGCAGAGTGAGTGTGTGTGTAATAAGCAGAGTGAGTGTGTGTGTAAAAAGCAGAGTGAGTGAGTGTGTGTGTAATAAGCAGAGTGTGTGTGTAATAAGCAGAGTGAGTGTGTAATAAGCAGAGTGTGTGTGTAATAAGCAGAGTGAGTGTGTAATAAGCAGAGTGAGTGTGTAATAAGCAGAGTGTGTGTGTGTGTGTGTGTAATAAGCAGAGTGATTGTGTAATAAGCAGAGTGCGTGTGTGTGTAATAAGCAGAGTGAGTGTGTAATAAGCAGAGTGTGTGTGTAATAAGCAGAGTGAGTGTGTAATAAGCAGAGTGTGTGTGTGTGTGTGTGTAATAAGCAGAGTGATTGTGTAATAAGCAGAGTGCGTGTGTGTGTAATAAGCAGAGTGAGTGTGTAATAAGCAGAGTGAGTGAGTGTGTGTGTAATAAGCAGAGTGTGTGTGTAATAAGCAGAGTGAGTGTGTAATAAGCAGAGTGTGTGTGTAATAAGCAGAGTGAGTGTGTAATAAGCAGAGTGTGTGTGTGTGTGTGTGTGTGTGTGTGTGTGTGTGTAATAAGCAGAGTGATTGTGTAATAAGCAGAGTGCGTGTGTGTGTAATAAGCAGAGTGAGTGTGTAATAAGCAGAGTGAGTGTGTGTGTAATAAGCAGAGTGAGTGTGTGTGTAATAAGCAGAGTGAGTGTGTGTGTAATAAGCAGAGTGAGTGTGTGTGTAATAAGCAGAGTGAGTGTGTAATAAGCAGAGTGAGTGTGTGTGTAATAAGCAGAGTGAGTGAGTGTGTGTGTAATAAGCAGAGTGTGTGTGTAATAAGCAGAGTGATTGTGTAATAAGCAGAGTGCGTGTGTGTGTAATAAGCAGAGTGAGTGTGTAATAAGCAGAGTGAGTGTGTGTGTAATAAGCAGAGTGAGTGTGTGTGTAATAAGCAGAGTGAGTGAGTGAGTGTGTAATAAGAAGAGTGTGTGTGTAATAAGCAGAGTGAGTGTGTAATAAGCAGAGTGTGTGTGTGTGTAATAAGCAGAGTGATTGTGTAATAAGCAGAGTGTGTGTGTGTGTGTGTGTAATAAGCAGAGTGAGTGTGTAATAAGCAGAGTGTGTGTGTGTGTGTGTAATAAGCAGAGTGAGTGTGTAATAAGCAGAGTGTGTGTGTGTGTGTGTGTAATAAGCAGAGTGCGTGTGTGTGTAATAAGCAGAGTGAGTGTGTAATAAGCAGAGTGAGTCTGTGTGCAATAAGCAGAGTGAGTGTGTGTGTAATAAGCAGAGTGAGTGTGTGTAATAAGCAGAGTGAGTGTGTGTGTAATAAGCAGAGTTGAGTGTGTAATAAGCAGAGTGAGTGTGAGTGTGTGTGTAATAAGCAGAGTGAGTGTGTGTAATAAGCAGAGTGAGTGTGTGTGTAATAAGCAGAGTTGAGTGTGTAATAAGCAGAGTGAGTGTGAGTGTGTGTGTAATAAGCAGAGTGTGTGTGTAATAAGCAGAGTGAGTGTGTGTGTGTGTGTGTAATAAGCAGAGTGAGTGTGTGTAATAAGCAGAGTGAGTGTGTGTGTAATAAGCAGAGTTGAGTGTGTAATAAGCAGAGTGAGTGTGTGTGTAATAAGCAGAGTGTGTGTGTAATAAGCAGAGTTGAGTGTGTAATAAGCAGAGTGAGTGTGTGTGTGTGTGTGTAATAAGCAGAGTGAGTGTGTGTGTGTGTGTGTAATAAGCAGAGTGAGTGTGTGTAATAAGCAGAGTGAGTGTGTGTGTAATAAGCAGAGTTGAGTGTGTAATAAGCAGAGTGAGTGTGTGTGTAATAAGCAGAGTGTGTGTGTAATAAGCAGAGTTGAGTGTGTAATAAGCAGAGTGAGTGTGTGTGTAATAAGCAGAGTTGAGTGTGTAATAAGCAGAGTGAGTGTGTGTAATAAGCAGAGTGAGTGTGTGTGTAATAAGCAGAGTGAGTGTGTAATAAGCAGAGTGAGTGTGTGTGTAATAAGCAGAGTGAGTGTGTAATAAGCAGAGTGTGTGTGTGTGTAATAAGCAGAGTGAGTGTGTAATAAGCAGAGTGTGTGTGTGTGTAATAAGCAGAGTGAGTGTGTAATAAGCAGAGAGTGTGTGTAATAAGCAGAGTGAGTGTGTAATAAGCAGAGTGTGTGTAATAAGCAGAGTGAGTGTGTGTGTAATAAGCAGAGTGAGTGTGTGTGTAATAAGCAGAGTGAGTGTGTGTGTAATAAGCAGAGTTGAGTGTGTAATAAGCAGAGTGAGTGTGTGTGTAATAAGCAGAGTGTGTGTGTAATAAGCAGAGTTGAGTGTGTAATAAGCAGAGTGAGTGTGTGTGTAATAAGCAGAGTGAGTGTGTGTAATAAGCAGAGTGAGTGAGTGTGTAATAAGCAGAGTTGAGTGTGTAATAAGCAGATTGAGTGTGTGTGTAATAAGCAGAGTGAGTGTGTGTGTAATAAGCAGAGTGAGTGTGTGTGTAATAAGCAGAGTGAGTGTGTGTAATAAGCAGAGTGAGTGTGTGTGTAATAAGCAGAGTTGAGTGTGTAATAAGCAGAGTGAGTGTGTGTGTAATAAGCAGAGTGTGTGTGTAATAAGCAGAGTGAGTGTGTGTGTAATAAGCAGAGTGAGTGTGTGTAATAAGCAGAGTGAGTGTGTGTGTAATAAGCAGAGTGAGTGTGTGTGTAATAAGCAGAGTGAGTGTGTAATAAGCAGAGTGAGTGTGTAATAAGCAGAGTGAGTGTGTAATAAGCAGAGTGAGTGTGTGTGTGTGTGTAATAAGCAGAGTGATTGTGTAATAAGCAGAGTGAGTGTGTAATAAGCAGAGTGAGTGTGTGTGTGTGTAATAAGCAGAGTGAGTGTGTAATAAGCAGAGTGTGTGTGTAATAAGCAGAGTGAGTGAGTGTGTAATAAGCAGAGTGAGTGTGTAATAAGCAGAGTGAGTGTGTAATAAGCAGAGTGAGTGTGTGTGTAATAAGCAGAGTTGAGTGTGTAATAAGCAGAGTGAGTGTGTAATAAGCAGAGTGAGTGTGTAATAAGCAGAGTGAGTGTGTAATAAGCAGAGTGAGTGTGTAATAAGCAGAGTGAGTGTGTGTGTAATAAGCAGAGTTGAGTGTGTAATAAGCAGAGTGAGTGTGTAATAAGCAGAGTGAGTGTGTAATAAGCAGAGTTGAGTGTGTAATAAGCAGAGTGAGTGTGTAATAAGCAGAGTGAGTGTGTAATAAGCAGAGTGAGTGTGTAATAAGCAGAGTGAGTGTGTAATAAGCAGAGTGTGTGTGTAATAAGCAGAGTGAGTGAGTGTGTAATAAGCAGAGTGAGTGTGTAATAAGCAGAGTGAGTGTGTAATAAGCAGAGTGAGTGTGTGTGTAATAAGCAGAGTTGAGTGTGTAATAAGCAGAGTGAGTGTGTAATAAGCAGAGTGTGTGTGTGTGTGTAGTAAGCAGAATGAGTGTGTGTGTAATAAGCAGAGTAAGTGTGTGTGTAATAAGCAGAGTGTGTGTGTGTGTGTGTGTGTGTGTGTGTGTGTGTGTGTGTGTGTGTGTGTGTGTGTGTGTGTGTGTGTGTGTGTGTGTGTAATAAGCAGAGTGTACGTGCGTTGTGGAGCCGCCTATAGGCTCACATTACTAACACGCTCTTTAAATAACCAAACAAATACTGCGCCACTGACTTTAGCCCAGGGTTCAGTCGGTCGACGGCTCAGTCTATTTCAGCTCCTCAAAATAGCAACGATCCAACAATGCGCCAGAACACACACTCGTTCTCAGACCAGCAGCCCATGGGCAGATGGGCAAAAGACATTTGCTATTTAAACAACGCGGCGCAGGACGTGAAAATGAAAACTGCGTTGGGCTGAAACTAGCAAAACACACTTGCGTCGCGCCTGCCGCTGCAATGCTCCGGGTGTGTGATAGCGCCCTGAGAGCGGTTCATTCATAAACCCGTAAGATCTTCCCTTCATGCTGTGGAAACACAAACTGGGAGACAGAAGGGGCGGAGCTACATCTCACCTTTCCTCCTGAAGGCGGGGCTAATGAGCACGAGCGGCGTGTTGATCTCCGCTTCTGACGATCCGCCGTGACTGCCGGTCTCAGACATGCCGTGATCTCCACACACAACCAGCAGGTTGGGCAGCGTCCCTTCAGATTCCTGAAACACACACATCAAAAACTTTTATTATTCATCTAAATATTTTTGAGACATCGACATCATATTGTCACGCCCCTAAACATGACGCAGAATAAAGCGTACTGTGATTGGTTGCGTTACATGTCAGTCAAAAGTCCTTGGCCAAGAAAACCTGCGATAGAAGCTCTGGTTACGCGAGACTAGATCATTCTCGATCAATCTGTAATAATTCAGATTTTTATATGATGAATTATTGTATTTTATGACTGAAGTCTGGGTCTGGGCTGAAAAATAGCCAGCAGAAAAAAAAAATGGTGAAGGTATTTCAAAAAGTGGATTTTTTTAAATATGGGTTTTTTGTCTTCATGTATATTTTTATCACCATTTATTTTATGTTTGCTACTGTTCAAACAAACAAATTCACACACACACACACACACACACACACACCCTTATAAAAGTTTGGTGTTGGTAAGAATTTTTTTAGGTTTTTGTTAAGTCTCTAACCCACAACAAATCTTCATTTATTTGATCAGAAATATGGTAAAAACAGTAAAATTGTGAAATATTATTACAATTTAAAATGACTGTTTTCTATGTGAATATACAGTAAAGTGTAATTTATTCCTGTGATCAAAGCTGTATTTTCAGCATCATTACTCCAGTCTTCAGTGTCACATGATCCTTCAGAAATCACTCTAATATGAGGATCTGATGCTCAAGAAACATTTCTTGATCTAACAGACCAAAAATGATGTAAAAATAAATGTATTGACAGTTTTCAGGAGATTTCGCAGTATAATTGTGTGTGTTTGTGTGCACAAGAGGAAGTGAGAGTGTGTGAGAGAGTGTGTGAGAGACGCTGGATTGCTGTCCTCTTCACTGGAGCAAATCACTGAGGTTTGAACACGTGTGTGTGTGTGTGTGTGTGTGTGTGTGTGTGTGTGTGTGTGTGTGTGTGTGTGTGTGTGTGTGTGTGTGTGTGTGTGTGTGTGTGTGTGTGTGTGTGTGTGTGTGTGTGTGTGTATGTGTCTCTCTCACTCACTCACTCATCAGGGACAGGGATGATCAGCTCTATTTCACATCAAAGAGTCTCTCGGCCCACTTGATTCCCTCATGCACACACACACACACACACACACACACACACTCCTGCACCCACAGCTGGATGGCCGTCGCTGGAAACGCTCACTCTGAGCCCTAACACCACACTAATGATGCTTCGCTAGCAACAAGTCCTCCGGTTCAGATATTCATGAGTCCACTAAACGCATGCTAATGACTAGCCTCTAGAATTGTACTTCTACAAATAAAATTATAATACAATAGAAATAGAAAAATACAATTAATTCGATTTTTTTTTTTTTTTTTTTTGCAAATTTGCTTGGGAAATGTGACCAACACACACCATCAGGTAAAAGCTGAACCGTGCCATGGCCAACAGCCTTCAGTGTTCGAGAAGGAGACCTTAAAAGGAGATTTGCATTCGTTTAAACTGTTAAATGTCCTAAACCAGCTTACAGTAGCTGTGCTGGTCTTAGCTGGTGTTCTGAGACATAAAACAAATCCATTAAATATATATATACTGTATATCTAAAAAATAAATTTGCTTGAAAAGCTGTTTTTTGATTTCTTGAAATAAGTGTTTATTATTAAAACAAGAAAAAAAATGGGAAAACAAGATTATTTTCTTACTGCCATTAATAGATCTTTTCTTTTTTCCAAAAATAAGACTTTTCATAACACTCAAAATTAGGTTTCTTAAAACAAGAAAAAATATCTGTTAATAGGCTAAGAAAATAATCTAGTTTTTTAATCATAAACTCGCTTAATTTTGATAAATCTTTCAGAAAAGTCATTTTGCATCTCCAGGAAATGTATCTTTATTCAAAGTTTTATTTAAAAACCCTAATTTTAACTCATATTTGATCATCAAAAAGACTGTGAAAAAAAAATCTTCATGCCTTTAAATATCTTGAATGTAACTCGACACCCTTGCCTCATTTAGTATGCGTGGTTCAATGAATATGCAAATGAGCCCCGCCTCCACTCACTCACTCAGCTCAGAGATCCACTGGTTGACGATCACACGTTGATCTGATTGGTTACAAGGTCGTTTGTGACGTCAGAAACACCAGCGATTTCAAACCGTGTTTTTGAGACTGTCTTTGGTTCACTGCAGTTTTAAGCAGAAAATACTCAGCAATGCTGTCGACTTATGAACTTACACACGGTTTAAGCGTATTAAAAACACCACATAGACACATAGAGTGAGCTGCAGTAATGGAGATCTCAGGCTGTTCATGTGTTCACATCACAGGGTTAAAGATAAAGAACAGCGTTAAAATATACAGAAAGAGTGTTTTATAAGGGAACATAAAAACACACTGATAGAGCATTTCCCCTCATGATTTAATCCGAGGAAGCTTAAAGCAGGACAAAACTAATAAAGAAAGGCGACACTGTACCAAAAGGAGCTTTTGTAGAATAATTCCCCATCAAGCCGCCGCCGGGAGCTTCAGGAGATGTGTGTGTGGGTTTATCAGAAGTGACTGAATCAAACTGAGTTTTATTGAGTGATTTCTGACTTCAGGATAGAGCGGATCGGTTGGAGGAAAGGAGCGAGCTGCGAGAGGAAGATGAGGGGAATGTGGAAATGGAAAGAGGTAAAGGAATGAAAGATGCCATTTTAATAGCGCTTAGAAGAGTTGAGCCGAAGTGAGCCATTATTCACTCTCCGAAACACTTTCTGCTGAGGAACATGACGGGAGAAACTCGAATCTTTCCGCTCCAAACTCGTCCTTTTGAGAACTGATTTTCTGTACATAACGACTAAACCGAGTCATTTTATAATCACTGAGATACTATTATAGTTTATCGTAATATTTTGAATATTCATCATTTTAATTTCAGTTAAGGTAAAGTTTTAGTAGTTTTGTTGTGTTTTTGTAATTTTTTGTCTATATGGTTTTTATTCATTTTTATTTCAGTTTTAGTTTTAATTATATTAGTGCATCACATGAAACTAAACTAAATGAAAATGGGAAATATTGCCTTCGCTGAAATAAAATAAAATAAAATTTTCAAGTAACAAACAATTTTTTATGATTTCAGTTTTAGTTGTAACAACAACCCTGAATAAAACAAACTATTTTTTTTAAATCACTCAATTGAAATAAAAATGTTTTTCCAACTAATATATATAAATAAATAACATAAATATTAAATTATAAACTTAAACAACATTTAGCCTTGGCAACTAAATGAAATACATATTTTTAAGTTACAATACTAATATCACTAAAACTGAGAAAGACATTAAAAAAAATAATCAAAGCTATATAGAAATATTAAAATATAACAAACTATATTGAGTGAATGATTCAATGACTCACTTATAAAGACTTCACTTGTATCATTACCAGATGAATCAGTGTTTTTAAACAAATCTCTTGAGTGAATGATTCAATGACTCAGTCATAAAGACTTCACTTGTATCATTACCAGATGAATCTGCGTTTTTGAACAAATCTCTTGAATGAATGATTCAATGACTCACTTATAAAGACTTTACTTGTATCATTACCAGATGAATCTGCATTTTTGAACAAATCTCTTGAGTGAATGATTCAATGACTCACTCATAAAGACTTTACTTGTATCATTACCAGATGAATCAGTGTTTTTAAACAAATCTCTTGAGTGAATGATTCAATGACTCACTTATAAAGACTTCACTTGTATCATTACCAGATGAATCAGTGTTTTTAAACAAATCTCTTGAGTGAATGATTCAATGACTCAGTCATAAAGACTTCACTTGTATCATTACCAGATGAATCTGCGTTTTTGAACAAATCTCTTGAATGAATGATTCAATGACTCACTTATAAAGACTTTACTTGTATCATTACCAGATGAATCTGCGTTTTTGAACAAATCTCTTGAATGAATGATTCAATGACTCACTTATAAAGACTTCACTTGTATCATTACCAGATGAATCAGTGTTTTTGAACAAATCTCTTGAATGAATGATTCAATGACTCACTTATAAAGACTTTGCTATATTATTGCTGGATGAATCAGTGTTTTTGAACAAATCTCTTGAGTGAATGATTCAATGACTCACTCATAAAGCGTCCATGAACAAACAACTAATAAACGAGCCGTCTTTTCATTTCTCGTTATTCCTTTCCAAATATGAAATTAAATGATCAGATGATACACAGACCATAAAAACACTTATTTAATTGCTGGATGAATCAGTGTTTTTAAACAAATCTCTTGAGTGAATGATTCAATCAGCCACCTCCTGGGGTAACAATATAATTGATACAATCTTCACTCAAAGTTAATTTTGCTCTATTTTGATCGCTACCGTAGACATCAGTATTCATTTTCGAAATCTAAACTTTAATCCCAGTATTTGTGTGATAATATGAATTGTAAGAGAAATGATAATACTGTGATGTTGAAAAGACTGTTTGTGACATGTTTGTTTCATACAAATCTATGATATAATGATTTTGTCATTATACCAGATCCCAGAGACTTATTAGTATTGTTGTCTTTTATGTATAAGTGTCATAAATTATAAAATCACTGTGTAATCTCTCTCTTGATTTTGTCAAAGGTGTAATAGACACAAGTGAATCGTTGTCATTTAGGAATGCGTGTGTGTTTGAATCGAGATCTTGATCTTTGAGCGATTAATCGTGTCTTGGCTTCTGCGTATGTGGAGCAGATCGACAGAAAACGTGCTGGTTAAAAGAAGAAGAGAGGAGAAGGACTGACCCACTGATCTCAGGGGACGAACACAATGTGTTTCACAGGTAACGAGAGGGAAGGGAGGACAGAAAGAGAGAGTAACAGAACACACTGTGTGTCAGCAGGTCCAAAACTAACAGACAATGAATAAAGACATGAACCTGTGAGTTATGGATGATATTCAGTCTGATGAATCCATCACTGAACCAGCGAGTCTTTGCTATCTGTCGTGCACTGCCAGAAATGAAGCA